AACAACTCCTGAATCTGAGCCTTCAACTCCTGAAGCTCCTTCGGCGCCATACGATACGGCGCTTTCGACACTGGCCCAACTCCAGGCAACAGGTCGATCGTGAACTCCACCTGACGGCTAGGTGGTCCTCCCGGTAGCTGATCCGGAAAAACGTCCACGAAATCTCTCACTATGGGTACATCTCCGGGCATGCGCTCCTCCGAAGGTTCCCCGAGCATAGAGACTAGGTAGCCCTGACAATCCTCCCTCTATAGGCACTTGGTCGCCTTCGCCATGGAAATGATACGCGGTAAAGTCCTCGTCCTCGTCCCGAAAAATGTGATGTGGTCTCCATCGACTAAGTGCAACGTCACCTCTCTATCACGGCATCGGATGTCTGCGTGATATCTCTCCAACCAATCCATGCCGAGAATGAGGTCGAAGTCCCTCATCTCGATCACGAATGCGTCTACCTCTAGAGTTCTGCCTCCAATACACATGCTAAGGTTCTTGGCCAGGGAACTCGTGACTATCTTCCTCCCCGAAGCTAGGCTGATCTCGAGGGGGTCGACGTCACTCACACCCTGAACCCCTATGGCCTCTAAACACTTGGCCGAGACGAACGAATGTGTCGCCCCGGTATCGAATAAAGCAAAGACAGGTACATCGAGTAAAGAGAGCATGCCAGACATGGTACCTGGCTGCTCGGCGGCCTGCTCCTGGTCAAGTGCGTAAATGCGGGCAGGTGCACCTCGAGGTGGGTGCTGAGCTGGCTGTCTCGGTGCTGGCTGTCTGTGAGCTGGTGGTCTCTGGCCCTGCTGAGGCTGTGGGCGATCTGGGCAGTCTGCGATCCTATGACCGGGCCTGCGGCAACGATAGCAAATGTCCTGCCCAGCCAGGCACTCTCCCCGGTGGACGCGCTGACAAGTAGCGCAAATAGCTGGGAGCTGCGGGACCGGTGGTGCTGCCTGAGCTGGGGCTCCTGGTCGACGGTTCCTCCTATCGTCGCGACCTCTCCACTTCCTCTTGTTCCGGTACTGCGCCTGCTGAGGTGGCGCTGGCAGGGCTGGCTGGATGGCAGCTGGCTGTCTGGCTAATGGTGCCACCTGAGCTAGTGGCTGTGCAGGAGTGTCTAGCAGCTGGGATGCCTCAATCTGCTGGGCTCGCTCAACGGTCTCAGCATAAGTCAAATAGCCATGGCTGGCTACGAGCACTCGAAGGTCTCTGGTCAGGCCGTTGCGGAAACGGGAGGCCTTCTGTTCGTCGGTGTCCACAAGATGGCGTGCAAAGAAGCTCTTACGAGTGAACTCCCGCTCGTACTCCTCAACTGAGCGGTCTCCCTGAAGCAAGTCATAGAACTCTCGCTCCATCCTCTCGCGAAAGTGGCGAGGGTAGTACTTGGCCTCCAAAATCCCTTTAAGCTGATCCCAAGTCAGCTGGTCTCGCTCGTCAGCTGTCCTGAGACGCCAGTAATCGTCCCACCAGTCTCCGGCCGCACCCTCAATCTGAAACTCGGCACAAGAGACCATGTGCTGGTCGGATATGCCCATCATCCGGAAAATACGATCCATCTTGCGGATCCAGTCTCCTACGGCCAACGGGCCCTTCTCTCCAGTGAAGACCGGAGGGGCGTAAGTCCGGAACTGGGCTGCGACTACTGACTGATCCCGCCCTGCGGGTGGAGCTCTACGGGGCGGCATTCTGAATAGCCAAATAACAACTTGATTAGTATAGCCAATTAATAAATAGCCACACTACTTAACGAATTTAAGAAATTTACCGAAAACACCTAGCTGGGCTAGAGTTCCGGTTTCTGCTTAATTCTACTGATTCTTGCTCGAATTCTGATATAGTCTAGAGTTGGACTTAGATAAACTTTCTAGAATTCTGTCTAGAGTTCTCTTTCTAGTCGGAGGATAGATGGCCCCTAAGGTTCTCTTACTATGTTCTCATGCACTTGCAAAAATTTAAAAAAAACTTAGGTGACTTACCTCGGAGTCGGCGCGGCGTGAGCGTGGCGTGGTCATGTTTTTCTAAACTTTTAAGTATACAGAACCACAAAGTGGCTCTGATACCAACTGTAACACCCCGCCTAATTATTTCTAAAATTTATAAAATCAGAGTAAAATTTTTGCTTTTTATTTTCGAAAAACTCATAAACTTTATTTTCGAAAATACTCATACTATCTTGCGGGATGCTACTAACTTAAACTCTTTCTCATGCAGACGTAAATAAATACATGCAATTAATATTAATAATTCTCCGCATAATTAAAATAATACTAATACCGATAAATAAGTCGAGCTATTAATATAATATTATTCCGGGGTGTTACAGGTATCATGGTCAAACACATAGTACCCAAAAAGTCTTATTAGGTACGATGGGAACCTTTGTGTCAAACACATATTCAACTCATTTTTATCATAACAACAACCACAAAGGTGCAGTCAATCCATATAATTCGGTCCAATCACTTATTAATTTCCATCAGACATTTCAATAATAAATTCAAAATTTAATTCAACCCAGAGAAACATATAGAACAAGAATATAAAACAACTTGATCACATTTATTAACTAAATTAACATGGCTTTTAATTAATTTAGCTCCCACTATTTTCACATACTCTACGACCCTTCAGAGGAGTACGAACTCATATCAAATATAGTCATAGTGAGCCAAGATCCACATCCATCCGATCATAGTCCCAGCTAGGGCTGATCACTATAATCGATGTAGTAGTAGGTCTCTAAACCAATTGTAAAAATTACAATTCTTGGTTGATCAAATCAAATTTGATCGACGTCCTTAGATCATTCCGACGGTAGGGCGACAAGAATTAGCTAAGTAAGTCAAAACCATCACACGATCACAAACATATGTATCTATGAATGAGTCTGCGCCTCGTAGACCTAAGCAAACACTAGGGTGTAAAT